GTGGGCCATTTTTTTGTTAAAAAAATCCATAATCAAAACCATAAATCCTTAAAAGGAAGTCCTTTCCTGAAATAAAGTGCTGTGTGAGATATCCAAAAAGCAATTTAATCTCATACTGAACCACACCCTCAAGAAGATCATGCATTATATCAAATGTATAGTTATTACAAACATGGAAATACTTCAATGAATTTAGTGTTGAATTTTTTTTCAAACCATATAGTGACTTTAATTGTGGGTTTTCTTGTAGAGACTGGCAATGCATTTCATACATGTCTTTTCCACGAATAATCACCTTAGGATCATCCTCACTGTATACTGTTTGAGTATCTGTTTTCTCAATCAAACAAAGGCGACAGAAATGACGGCTACTAAATGACTCATTAAACCCAAGAATTGTGTGCCTCCCTTGATTATCACCAGTGATCTGTGAGATTGTACCATAAACCTGCTCATCAGAAAATGGAAGACTTAGCCCCTGGTTTTCCAGTATCTTCAAATAATTTATCAACGGTCCTAGTATAACATCAAAACTATACTTGTGCAGATCTTGTGTGTGAAAAAGTGATACCAAATGAATATTCATCAAAAGCGAGTTACATTTTGGGGGCAAGTTTCTTAAAACAAAATAAAGACAGCCAATTTTGTGAATGCCACGTTTTGAGCCAAGGGGATTGGCTGTTTCAAAATCATCATAGTATAGTTGAATTTGTAATGCATGTCTTTTTGCTGAAAACAAAGGGTGACTTTTGAAATAACTTCCATCAAAAAAGTCAGTATAAGTGTCAGGCTCTGATCCATAATCTTTCTTTAGCAAAACACAAATGTCTGGATTTCTGCACATGAACTTAAATGTTTCTAAAACTGGCACATATATAAAAGTGTCCTTCACAGGTACTTGATCATAAGTCCCGGATTTCTGATTTCGCCTATTGTCATATCTCACTCCCAGTGTAATTTCGACTGGCTCGACAACACCCCATTTTAGGTTAAAGTATTTATTTCGTTTCCATTCTGTATTCAGATTTGTGAACGGGTTTTCAAATTTAGAAAAACTTTCATTTATCACAGATATGTTGTGGTCAGTTACAGGTAAATGAGAAATAACAGAATGCTTAGCTTGTGAGCGAAGCTCACTTGTTAGTTCCTCCAAATCTCCTACAATTGAAGATACCAAACTATTAGAAATCCCACTCCCCTGCAATTTGGCAACAATGGATGCACACATTTCTTTGGTTGAATCTTTATCAAGTTCTAAATCATTGCTGTCAGAAGAAACACTGGAAGAGCTACATTGATTTGGGGGATTAAATTGCACCTCCAAAGCATGTGCCTGTGATGAAGTAGCAACTGGCTCAAAAGAGGAATATGCGACAGTTGACGTATGAGCAATTTGTTGAAAATTGCTATGAACACTATTAAGGTGCTTCCTAAAACCTGCATATTGTAAGAAACGGAGGTTTATCCTCCTCTATGCGCCAGGTGACAGCTCCTCGATCTACCGGGAGAGGAGGCAATCAGGCTCGATCGTTGTCACCTGAGTTCTGACACACCTGTTTGTGATATAGAGTTGTCAGTGCCCTGAGACCGGTGCGAGGTATTGATCGTTTACGAACTTGCTGAGCGTTATCCTTGAAAGTCAGAATACGTTTGTTCCGTGTACCAGTCCTTTGCCTGCCTGTTTACTCTGAGTCTGCTCATCCTTTGCTTTGTGTCAACCAGTTATTCCCGTGCCTGACCATCCTGCGTGTTTACCGGACCTTGTCTCGCCTGCCACTCTGTACCGTCTCCTGCCTCTGACTTCCCGAAGCTGAACCTTGCCTGCCCGACTATTCTTGATTGCATTGAACGTTCCTGTAAAATAAACATCGCGACTCCGCGATTGGATTCAGTTCTTCGTTTCCGTGTGTGTTCGTGACACATATGTTTCAAACTGATGCCTACAAGTCTTGATCCACCTTTACAAAAGCAGGTGTTGAACTACTACTACAATAATTACTTTCAAAATTCATACATTCTAAACATCTCATACCAAACCTACCAATCCTTTTGTATCCATGAATCTTGGGAAGATGGAGAGAATATCAACACTTCTGCCTGGGTCATTAACAATCTTCTGACGGTGCTGAAAAGTCTCTCGCATAGCAAGATTAAACTGAAAACATAGCAAGAATAAACTGAATAAGCTTGCGAAGTCAGCACTGTTTCTTACCTTATATCGAATTACTTCATATTATTACATTCATCCACAACTATATAATCATTAAATAGACCTAGAAAGTTTTTCCCGTAACATCTAACTTCCTCAATATAAAATGTCCCTTTAAAATATTGTTTTGGTATCACAGTTTAGCTGTATGTTATGCTTAAATGTTACAATATATTAGGCAGACATTGTAGAACTGTGCATGTTTGGCAATTTACATTCAGTGTACACCATTAGGAAAGTTGCAGATTACTGTTTTAAATATGGTGGTCTTTTTAAACCCATTTCCAAGCCAATCTCATAAAAACGACATTGACGTTGCATACCTTTTTCATGCAATTGCAGAAAGTCAAACCGCCCTTCAACCTCATCCAACTTAATATACTTTTGCTGTCGGCTGTAAGTCACCTGGAGCAGCATTTTACTGAGGCAAACAAGACAGTTTGATAATAAATTAACATTTAAAATAAGAACATAAAACATAAAGCAAGGTACTGGTCACACGCAAACCAACAGTAAAACAGCGTGCCTGTTACAGCAGCGTGCATGTCACGTTATTTTGCGGGGCAATTTGATGTTTAACTGTCAACAGATAAAATGTAACATTCGCTCCAGCCTCATTTTATACAGTAAAATCACAAAGCATCGTTTTGTGCTTGCATATTGTTGTTAAATCGATATCAATAATAAAGTTAGAAATGGTTTTACCAACCACGTGTAAAGCTTAGCTAGCTACGATAGACTGCTAACGTTAGCTAACACTAACAGGCTAAAAATCGCCAGGACACATGCTGTTCAGTCCTTGCAGCAAACAAGGCTTTGTAAAAAAAGTTATTCTATAAAGATGTTTCATTGTACATACTGCAGTTAACAGCATACATTTCTAATTGTTCAGTTACATTTGACTTAATTACACTTACCGTGTGAAACTGCATTTGAGGAGAAAAATGGTGCTGGCTTGACTTTTGCATCCAACTGAAGAAGTGTAATGTGTGTGTTGGCGCCTGGGCGGAGCTTAATTACATCCTCCCAGAGTTAAGTTAACACTGTGTTGATCAACCCTTTAAAAGAACTCCAACACTGAACACCATTTAACTCAGAATGTGTTAAAATTACACTTTGTGAGTTGAAATTAACTCAGACGACTTCAACCCTGAATTTTCAACTCTTCAATTTTTGCTGTGTAGACTGCGGCTGGGTGGCGCTATGTTAACAAGAGAGCAATGACTCAAGAATCTTTGCTGTACAAGCAAGCCGCGATAATTATTGAGATCATCACTATCACCCCTATTATGAAGAGGCAACACATATGCAAATTTCCAAAATGTAAGAATAAGTCCCAAAGATATAGTCAAATAAAACATATGGATTACTCCGCCAGCAATAATGGATCCTACACATTTTAAACGACCCGATTCCAATTTCTCTGCCCCTATAGATGTCTTAAGGTCTACTGCAAATTGTGCATCTGTAATGAATACTCAAACAGGTGGAAACCGGTCCCAATCATGGAAGCGCGACATAGAATTATCAATGACAGCAGACAGAGAACAATAGTATAACAGGCACAGGTCAGCAACGGTTGATCAGTTACTGGACTGAAGTACATTGACAATAGGCAAACGCAGAGTACACGGTACAGACAGGTAGTCACAACTGGGTATCACTAAAGGCGGTACAGACAAGAATCAGGCATAGATGAGACGGCAGACAAAAACAGGCGTTACACGGTAAACAAGCTTAGGAATATCTCACAGTGAAAACGCTCAGCAAGGAAAAATTAACAATATCTTGCAATGGAAGGCAGGTGTGGCCATTTATACTGACTGGGAATGACTGGTAAGGGGTAACAGGTGTGTTAGAACTCCAGTGAATTAGATCTGGCATGAGTACTTTTTTTCTTTCTTGCTAGAACTTGCTAGAAACCCAGATTTCAGTATCAGCCGACACATATTTTGCAACAAAATCCAGGTCACAATTGAATTGTTATTACCTGGCTACTGTATCAAAATTATAGCTTGCAAAAATAAAATGGTGATTAATAGCATGAATTTTCTCGATTTTATCAGTGCTGGTACCTAAGACTGAATTAACTTGATGCGGGTGTGAAAAACAGTTACAACCCTTCAAAAATGTAAACGTTTTCCAAAACTTGGCCGGGTTTCCTAAACAATCGGATAAGGTTTTGACAAAATAATCCGATTTTATTTTTCTAACTAAGTTTTCCACAACATTTTTATTTCATTAGTGTTTATTTTTTTCTGTTGTTGTGTTTTCTTGTGTTTTCCGTTTTAAAATTAATGACCACTAATGTGATTATCCAGCTCTGCGTTTTTGGCTTTCCCTGCACTACATCTAAACAAGTCGTGACAGAATGCGAATCCAAAAGAAAAAAACGAAAGCCAGGAAACGAAAGCCCTCCCTTTCAAATATATCTATATTTTTTTATAGTGGTGGATTTTGAGGGGGCCTTACAATTTGGACGTGTCATTATGTATTGTTACAAGATGAGTGTTTGGTATGTTGTCGTGCACTGTATGTTTTGGTCAACTTAGAAGTGCATTTATTTTTCATTCAGTGTATGTTTTACTGTTTGTTTTATTGGGATTAAGATAACACTTTTTTTTCTGGCTCTGCATCCCGCTGCCTCCTCACTTCACCTTGGATTACGTGACAAGCAGACACTTTTTTGCAAAGGGAGGACGGTAAAATCTCATCATTAAAATAACTTTTATTTTATTTTTTTACCAAGGAGGCTGATTGAGAATAAATTCTCATTTGCAACGGCAACCTAGGAAAAAGCTGGGCATTGAACCCAGGACATCATACACACAAAGCATGCACTCTACCACTGAGCCACCAGCTACTCCGCTACTGAAGTACTGAAATTTATATCTAGTTGTAAGCTTAGGGCCAACACTTTTTACAAATTTCAATCTTAATTTTACATAAATAGCAACACCATCCTTTACCTTTTCTATCAGCCCTGCAAATTCTGTAACAATCCACAGTAATTTCAGAGTCCAGAACGTTTTCAGTTAGCCATGTTTCTGATAAAAAAACGAAATGTCTGAACTTGCATGAAGGACCCAGATCTTAATGTGATCTATTTTACTTAGACTCAGACTAGGCCTGTCATAGAAGGCTGTGAAAAATTACAGCATCTTTTGAGCCAGGAATGTAACTGGCATATGCGGCTAAAGTATATATCGCTGAAACATAATAATACACTGTTTCCAAAGTCAAGAGTCAACCAAAAATCAATCAGTACTTTAAAATCCTCTCTCAGTTCATCAGACTGTTGAAGTTTAATGTAATTTAAAAAATGTGTACAATAACTGTTTTGGCGGTAGACTGCTTGCGTAGGATTGCTGGTAGCATAGCATAAAAAATAAATATCCGGGCACTAGGATAACGGAAGGTCTCTGTATTTCTAATAGAAACTTTCCAGACCATGGACGAACCCAGCAGGAGGACAGAAGGACTGCCACAGGGTTTTCCAATAGTAGCGGGGCTTCTCTCGAAGTATCTGAGCTGATTTCTCTAATTGCAGTTTAGCAGATTGCCGGGGGCTAGCAGCAACAACCGATGGCCTGGTGGGGGACATGGAATGTCATTGCCAACAGGGCCGGCTCCTGGCACAGGCGGGCAAGGCGGTCGCCTAGGGTGCAAACTTTCCTAGGGGTGCCGGCACGGCCGCACAATTAACATAAAAAAATCTGTTTCCTTATTACTGTGTAGTTCGGTGCAAAAACATATGCACTGCTTTGCTGGTGCACCAAAAATGTATATTAAACGCCCCACTCTCCTTTCGTTGCGAGCTGCACTAGCCTCTGAAATCGGCCTACATACCTGGTGGTTGGTGGCAGTGGGGGATGGGCACGCTCTACTCATTACTTCTGACACGCAGCATCATTCACATTTGACATGTACATGTAACATGACGGTCTGCTTTGCAACGCACGCACCTGTAGTTTCAGGAATCATTTAAAAAATGAAGAGAGCGCCAAACTCTAAACTTGTTTATTACTCTAGCTAATAATAGCTTTGAATATCTTATCAAGCTAATCTAGCACTAGCTAGCTATGTCAGGGTTGTGATGAGGAAGAACCCAAATGCAGAACGATGACACGGCAGTCAGATGGCAAGTGAACAAATGGATGTTTTATTTGGAAAACAACTGATGGTGATGAGCAGACAGGAGCGGGGGTGAGGAGTGCCGGTGATGAAGGTGAATCCCAGGTGACGATATCCCAGAACGTGCAGGGTGTCCAGTGATTCTCCGAGTGCAGGAACAGAACAGGAACAAACTGTAACGGAGGAGGCGAGACAAGAGGTAAGTACGGGACACGGACTAACACGACACAAAACAACAAACAGCTCTCGATAAGACTAGAATTCTTCTGACTGAGACTTTATATGACCGAGGTCGACATACGTGACTCTAGGTAACAATCCGACGTCGGCTGGTTGTCAGGCTCTCCCTCTTATACCCTGGTGATTGAAGACTTGGTGCAGGTGTGTGATTACGGGAATGGTGACAGGTGCGTGCAGATGCCAACCTCTCCAGATCCACCAGAGGGAGACCTTACCCGGGTCCAGAGCGGGGAACTCTGACAGTACCCCGTCCCCCACGACCGCCACCAGGCGGTCCACCTGGGGCTCCCGGCTTCCGCCGATAGAAGTCCTGGATCAGGCTGGGATCCAGAATCAGACGCCGGGAAACCCAACACCTCTCCTCCGGACCGTAACCCTCCCAGTCTACCAAAAACTGGTAACCCCGCCCTCTGCTCCGAGAGTCCATAATCTTCTTTACCGTGAAGGCCGGGGCCCCATCAATCATACGGGGAGGCGGCCGAGGAGGTGGGGGAAGGAGGCGACAAAAGGACACAGGTTTAATGCAGGACACATGGAATGATGGGTGTACACGAAGAGACCGAGGGAGCTTGAGGCGGACCACAGTGGGGTTGATGACACGTTGGATTGGGAAGGGACCGATGAACTTGGGTGACAGTTTCCTGGACTCGGTACGGAGGGGGAGGTCCCTGGTTGACAGCCATACCTTGTCTCCCACTGAGTAGGATGGTGCTGGAGTGCGTCGGCGGTTAGCCTGTTGCTGGTACTGATTTGAGGCTCTCAGCAGAGATATCCGGGCGCGATGCCATGTCCGGTGGCATCGGCGAAACTGCTGCTGTATCGATGGTACGGCCAGGTCCTTCTCCTGTGATGGGAATAGTGGAGGCTGATAGCCGTAAACACACTGGAAGGGGGACATACCGGTCGCTGTAGTGGGGAGCGTATTGTGCGCGTACTCCACCCATGGGATCTGCTCAGACCAGGTCGTGGGGTTAGAGGAAGCCAGGCATCGTAGGGTCGACTCCATCTTTTGGTTGGCCCTCTCAGCCTGACCGTTAGTCTGAGGATGGAACCCGGAAGAGAGGCTGGCCGTAGCTCCAACGGCGGTGCAGAAAGCCCTCCACAAGGCTGAGGCAAACTGAGGACCACGGTCAGAGACAATGTCAACAGGAAGACCATGAATGCGGAATATCTCCCTTACCATAATTTCCGCTGTCTCCTTGGCCGACGGGAGCTTGGGCAACGGCAGGAAATGAGCAAACTTGCTGAACCGGTCCACTACCGTTAGTACCACCGTGTTACCTCCAGACACGGGAAGTCCGGTGACGAAATCCATGGCCAGATGGGACCAGGGACGATGAGGGATCGGCAATGGCCTCAATAGTCCCACGCTGGGCCGGTTTGAGCCCTTGTTTTGCGCACACACTGGACAGGCCGCCACGTATGCCCGGGTGTCCTCACCCATGGCCGGCCACCAGAATCGACGGCGCAGAAAGGACATGGTACGTGCCACTCCAGGATGACAGGTCAGTTTAGACGAGTGGCCCCACTCCAGCACTGCCGGTCGCGTCCCCTCGGGAACAAACAGCCTACCCGGAGGGCCATTACCTGGGCCCGGGTCCCCCCTAAGGGCTGCCCGAACCTTCCCTTCGATCCCCCACTCGAGGGCTCCACAACCCGTCTCAGTGGCAGGATGGTCTCTGGCGTCTTCCTCGTCTCCTCCTTCGAGAAGACCCTGGACAAGGCATCAGGCTTCCCATTCTGGGATCCGGGTCTGTAAGACAGGACAAAATCAAAGCGTCCAAAAACAGAGCCCACCTGGCCTGTCGGGAATTTAACCGTTTGGCTGTCCGGATGTATTCGAGGTTCTTATGGTCTGTCCACACCACAAACGGTTGTTCCGCCCCCTCCAACCAGTGCCTCCACTCCTCCAGGGCCAGCTTCACCGCAAGCAACTCCCTATTGCCAATGTCATAGTTACTCTCCGCCGGGGAGAGTCGGTGAGACAGGAACGCACAGGGATGAAGCTTGTTGTCCTCCTTGGTTCTCTGGGAGAGCACCGCCCGGCTCCGACCTCCGACGCGTCAACTTCTACCACGAACTGTAGAGACGGGTCTGGTTGGGAGAGGACGGGTGCCGATGTAAAACGCTCCCTGAGCTCCTGGAAGGCCGACTCAGCCCCAGGAGACCACCGGAACGCTCTGAGACTGGAAGTCAGGTCTGTTAGAGGGGCTGCAATCCGGCTGTAATTACGGATGAACCGTCTATAGAAGTTCGCAAACCCCAGAAACCTTTGCAGCTCCTTGCGGAGTTGGGTCTGGGCCACTCCTGGACGGCCTGCACCTTCTTGGGATCCATCTTCACCTCTCCCTGGGCGATGATATAGCCTAGAAAGCTTGTGCACCTGGTGTTAAATTCACACTTCTCTGCTTTCACAAAGAGCCGGTTCTCCAGCAGCCGCTGTAGAACCTGGCGGACGTGCCTCTGATGTTCCTCCTGATTCTGTGAAAACACTAGGATGTCATCCAGGTAGACAAAAACAAAGCGACCCAGCATGTCACGTAACACGTCATTCACCAGGCACTGGAAGACAGCCGGAGCATTTGTTAACCCAAATGGCATTACCATGTACTCGAAGTGACCCAGTGGAGTGTTGAATCCAGTGAGCCATTCATCCCCCTCACGGATGCGGACCAGGTGGTAGGCGTTGCGTAGATCGAGCTTGGTAAACACCGTAGCGCCCTGTAAGGAATCAAAAGCAGTGTTCATCAGAGGTAAAGGGTATTTGTTCTTGACCGAGATGTTGTTCAACCCCGATAGTCTATGCACGGCCTGAGTGTGCCATCCTTCTTCTTTACAAAAAGAACCCTGCGCCCAGCGGAGAAGACGAGGGACGGATGATTCCAGCAGCCAATGAATCCTTGATGTAGTTCTCCATGGCCTCCGCTCTGGCCTGGAGATGTTGTAGAGTCTGCCCTTGGGTAGGGCGACCCCAGGCAGCAGTTCTATGGGACAGTCATATGGTCGATGAGGAGGTAGAGATAACGCCCGCTGTTTACTGAACACCTCACCCAGGTCGTGATAGGCGGGAGGTACAAGAGTGAGGTCAGGAACAGGCACCGAACTCTCCTGCTGAACACCCTGGGGACGAGCAGACTGAAGACAATTAGCCAGACAGAAATCACTCCAACTTAAAACACGGTTAGTGGACCAGTCGACCGTCGGATTGTGCTTTGCTAACCAGGGGTAACCCAGAACCACGGGTACTCTAGGAGACTTAAAAACAAGGAAACTGATCTGCTCTAAGTGGTTACCCGAAATTTGGAGCTGGACCGGCTCCGTCTTGTCCGTGATTCTGGCCAATAATCGGCCATCTAGGGAGTTAGCTTCAATAACCTCCTGAAGAGGAACTCTACTGAGTCCTAAAAGGTTTACCAGCTTGTGGTCCATAAAATTGTCATCAGCCCCCGAGTCAATGAGTGCCTCCACCTCCATCACTGTAGTGCCCCT